TATTAGTCTAGCAAAGGTCTAGAGTCTAGAATTGTATTAAATCAGGTTTAAATCCCTCCCATACTAATTCAGGTAGGCAGACTTTTAATATTTATAAGACATTATAGCTATTTAATAATCAAAGTACTGTACAACTATTTAATAGTGAAATTTAATAATATAATTTAGCCATTTGCTTGTCAAGTTCACAATTCAATATAGCTGTTTAATAATCAGACGTTATACAATACAGTTGTTTAGCAATCTTATAAAACAAAATATTGTCATTGAAAGGTCGTTGTATAATATTGTATAGTCATTGAGTTATAATACAATTCCGTTTTTAATTAATATTTGTATTTAAATATATCTATTTAATATTCAATGCTATTAGCAATATGTAGAGATTGTCATATCCATGTTATAATCTTAAATTAGGTGGTCAATAATAATTTCAATATGTAAGATTTTCACAACTTAATATCGAGACAAAACTTAGGTTAGGTTAGGTTTGCCTGTCGTCCCTCCTGGGACATAGGCCGCTGACAAGAGCTTTCCAGGCGTCTATGTCTTGGGCTAGTCTCTCCAACTGTCCCCAGGTGTATCCAATCTTCTTGGTGTCAGGTATCTTTGTCCTGGGCTAGTCTCTCCAACTGTCCCCAGATGTCCTGGGCTAGTCTCTCCAACTGTCCCCAGATGTCCTGGTCTAGTCTCTCCAACTGTCCCCAGGTGTATCCAGGCTAGTCTCTCCTACTGTCCCCAGGTGTATCCTGTCCTGGTCTAGTCTCTCCAACTGTCCCCAGGTGTATCCTGTCCTGGTCTAGTCTCTCCAACTGTCCCCAGATGTCCTGGGCTAGTCTCTCCAACTGTCCCCAGATGTCCTGGGCTAGTCTCTCCAACTGTCCCCAGATGTCCTGGGCTAGTCTCTCCAACTGTCCCCAGGTGTATCCAGGCTAGTCTCTCCAACTGTCCCCAGATGTCCTGGGCTAGTCTCTCCAACTGTCCCCAGATGTCCTGGGCTAGTCTCTCCAACTGTCCCCAGGTGTCCTGGGCTAGTCTCTCCAACTGTCCCCAGGTGTCCTGGGCTAGTCTCTCCAACTGTCCCCAGGTGTATCCAGACTAGTCTCTCCAACTGTCCCCAGGTGTATTCAATCTTCTTGGTGTCAGGTATCTCTGTCTTGGGCTAGTCTCTCCAACTGTCTCCATGTGTATCCTGTCCTGGTCTAGTCTCTCCAACTGTACCCAGGTGTATCCTGTCCTGGTCTAGTCTCTCCAACTGTCCCAAGGTGTCCTGGGCTAGTCTCTCCGACTCTCCCCAGGTGTCCTGGGCTATTCTCTCCAACTGTCCCCAGGTGTCCTGGGCTAGTCTCTCCAACTGTCCCCAGGTGTCCTGGGCTAGTCTCTCCAACTGTTCGCAGGTGTCCTGGGCTAGTCTCTCCAACTGCCCCCAGGTGTATCCAGGCTAGTCTCTCCAACTGTCCCCAGGTGTATCCAGGCTAGTCTCTCCAACTGCCCCCAGGTGTATCCAGGTTAGTCTCTCCAACTGCCCCCAGGTGTATCCAGGCTAGTCTCTCCAACTGTCCCCAGGTGTATCCAGGTTAGTCTCTCCAACTGTCCCCAGGTGTATCCAGGCTAGTCTCTCCAACTGTCCCCAGGTGTATCCAGGCTAGTCTCTCCAACTGTCCCCAGGTGTATCCTGTCCTGGTCTAGTCTCTCCAACTGTCCCCAGGTGTATCCAGGCTAGTCTCTCCAACTGCCCCCAGGTGTATCCAGGCTAGTCTCTCCAACTGTCCCCAGGTGTATCCAGGCTAGTCTCTCCAACTGTCCCCAGGTGTATCCAGGCTAGTCTCTCCAACTGTCCCCAGGTGTATCCAGGCTAGTCTCTCCAACTGCCCCCAGGTGTATCCAGGCTAGTCTCTCCAACTGTCCCCAGGTGTATCCAGGCTAGTCTCTCCAACTGTCCCCAGGTGTATCCAGGCTAGTCTCTCCAACTGCCCCCAGGTGTATCCAGGCTAGTCTCTCCAACTGCCCCAGGTGTATCCAGGCTAGTCTCTCCAACTGTCCCCAGGTGTATCCAGGCTAGTCTCTCCAACTGTCCCCAGGTGTATCCAGGCTAGTCTCTCCAACTGCCCCCAGGTGTATCCAGGTTAGTCTCTCCAACTGTCCCCAGGTGTATCCAGGCTAGTCTCTCCAACTGTCCCCAGGTGTATCCAGGCTAGTCTCTCCAACTGTCCCCAGGTGTATCCAGGCTAGTCTCTCCAACTGTCCCCAGGTGTATCCAGGCTAGTCTCTCCAACTGTCCCCAGGTGTATCCAGGCTAGTCTCTCCAACTGCCCCCAGGTGTATCCAGGTTAGTCTCTCCAACTGTCCCCAGGTGTATCCAGGCTAGTCTCTCCAACTGTCCCCAGGTGTATCCAGGCTAGTCTCTCCAACTGTCCCCAGGTGTATCCAGGCTAGTCTCTCCAACTGCCCCCAGGTGTATCCAGGTTAGTCTCTCCAACTGTCCCCAGGTGTATCCAATCCTCTTGGTATCTTCTTCCAGATCATCTCTCAAGGTTTTCCTTGGTCTGTGTGAGGGTAGATGGTTAGATCTTCAGCCACACCAGTTGTGAGGGGGTGATAAACAACAACTACCCCAGATATGTGAGTTAGGGTGATGAAGATAATACCAGCCTGGTTATAGTTTGTAATTAACACACACAAGTCCGATCCACAAGATACATGTCCTTTATTAAACAATCAAATTCATTGCCTACCTAACTAGCCTATTCTATACTCTCTGCTACTACTGTCTACAGTTCCCTAGATCTACCTATCTGACCGTTTCTACCTCACGATCTACCTCTAATTCTCTACCTAACTCTGACCGCTCTCTTACTAATTATCAACTGTTATCTAGCCCTACATATCTCGACCGTCTCTAACACCAAGTCCGCCGCTAATCTCACTACTGACCCACGCTTCAGTGGTCAGCTGACCGTCCCACGTGACCGGTTAGCTCCTGTCTATTGGTCTCTCTACTCAACTATCTATCGTCTCTTTCTGCTAACCTCTACCTACTTGACCTAAACTAGCGTCATCACAGTCTATCTTTCCTCCTCCTGCCCTGTGGATTCCAGGTGAGGGCCTGTCTTGTAATGCTGGATACAGGCTTCCTGAGTGTGTGACCAATCAATTTCCATTTCCACTAGAGGATCTCTTCCTCAGCTGGCAGTTGATTTGTCCGTTGCCATAGAACATCGTTTCTGATGGTTTTAGGCCAGCGAATTCGCAGGATCTTTCTGAGGCATGAGTTTATAAATGATTGTATTTTTTTTCTTGAATATGTAAGATTTTCACAAATTAATATTGAGACAAAGCTTAGAATATAATTATTGACGAGAAAGAACAAAGGGACTTTCTGTATTTTTTAAAACATCTCCGCATTTTATTTGTCAAATACGTTTTATTTTCATGCTAGTAATATAATCGCTTTAAATGTGCATTGTGACCCCCCAAACTCAGGAAATAAACTGCGTGTGTCCAAAATATATTTGTGCGCAAGTTTATTTTTCAGCCTAACCGTACTCATGAATTTCAACTCGACGAAAAAATGAAACAAAAAAAATATTTTCGCGTATTGTCGCGCCTACTCGATTTTAAAGACACTAATTACCACAATATTGCGTTTGGCCGACAATGCCAAAGCTTTAAAACATTTTTTATGTTGTTCTGGCCATAAATATTTAGACTTGCCAAATGGTAAAAAAAAAATATCACCAACTTCATTTGATAGCATTCAGCCATCGACATGCAGAGAGTACGAAAAACACATAAATCAAGACATGCCAAGACAGTTTAGAAACAGCAGGATTGAGTTCCTTCTTTCCTACACACAGACAGACAGAAACATCCATTCACAGACCTAAAAATAGATTTATTTTTTTTTTTACAAAAAACTATAAAGGTGTCTAAACATTGTTTTTTTTTTTTTTAAAGATATTTTTTGTTGGATTTTCCCTGCACTTTTTCTGTAAATGTCATTTCGCTCTTATAAACGCTTAATTGAAAGTCAAATTCCCATACCTAGGAAGGTAATAGGGGACGGCGTGGCCTAACCCAGAGGCGTAGCGAGAGGGGAGCGGGGGGGGGGGGGGGGTGCGGAACGCCCCGGGTGACACCATTTAGGGTGTTGACACCAATGCAAAAAATAGCAAAATATATAGAGAAAAATGATAATTCCACTTAATTAAGTCATACATTTGAGTGTTAAATAGTGTTTTAAGAGGTGCAAATCAAAAGTGTAAGGGGAGGGGGGGGGGGGGGGGTGGGGCTGAAATCGAAAATTTAAAGTTTCTCCCCGGAAAGGGTCGCTATGCCTCTGGGGGGGGGGGGACGACACCATTAAGTGCCGCACCGGGTGACACCCGACCTCGCTATGCCACTGGCCTAACCCGAGAGTCTCGAGTTCGGATCCGGGTTAATATAAGTGTCCACCCAGCTCTGATGGGTACTTGATTAACGTTAGGGAAACTACGTCTGCTGAGCAAAGTGCTGACCACACTGTTCCCTCGTATGTCGAGGTCACTGAAACAGATAAACTCTGCTTCATCTGACCCCATGTGTCAAACCAGTGTCAAATCTTTTAACATACTAGCCTCGGTTTGAGTGTTTCTTTCAGGCATCTCTCCAATGCGAATCCACCCGGACAAAATTGAAAAGAAAAGTATAATCTACTGTATTTTGAAAATATCTACTTTTACAAGTTTATCTCCCCCCCCCCCCTCCCGGAATTTCTTCTTCGCCCTCCGCAGAACGTCTACCGCCTCCCCTCCCCCCCTCTCCCGAACTAAATGGGATTTATATAGAAAACATATACTTTTACCAGTGTCGCCCCCCTCCCGGAAAATGTAGTCATCCACCCCCCCCCCCCAGAAAATATCAAGTGCCCCCCCCAAAGAAAAGTCTGGAAGGAACACTGATTCCAATCATTGTGATGTATTATTTTACTGTGTGGGTCATACTGTGGGTCATACTGTGAGTCATACTGTTAGGTCATACTGTGGGTCATACTGTGGATCATACTGTGGGTCATACTGTGGGTCATACTGTGGATCATACTGTGGGTCATACTGTGGGTCATACTGTGGATCATACTGTGGGTCATACTGTGGGTCATACTGTGGGTCATACTGTGGGTCATACTGTGGGTCATACTGTGGGTCATGCTGTGGGTTATACTGTGGGTCACGCTGTGGGTTATACTGTGGGTCATACTGTGGGGCACACTGTGGGTCATACTGTGGGTCATACTGTTAGGTCATACTGTGGGTCATACTGTTAGGTCATACTGTTAGTCATACTGTTAGGTCATACTGTGAGTCATACTGTTAGGTCATACTGTGGGTCATACTGTGGGTCATACTGTGGATCATACTGTAGGTTATACTGTGGATCATACTGTGGGTCATACTGTGGGTCATACTGTGGGTCATACTGTGGGTCATACTGTGGGTCATGCTGTGGGTTATACTGTGGGTCACGCTGTGGGTTATACTGTGGGTCATACTGTGGGGCACACTGTGGGTCATTTGTGGGTCATACTGTGGGTCATAATGTGGGTCATAATGTGAGTCATACTGTTAGGTCATACTGTGGGTCATACTGTTAGGTCATACTGTGAGTCATACTGTTAGGTCATACTGTGGGTCATACTGTTAGGTCATACTATGAGTCATACTGTTAGGTCATACTGTGAGTCATACTGTGGGTCATACTGTGAGTCATACTGTTAGGTCATACTGTGGGTCATACTGTTAGGTCATACTGTGAGTCATACTGTTAGGTCATACTGTGGGTCATACTGTGGGTCATACTGTGGGTCATACTGTTAGGTCATACTATGAGTCATACTTTAGGTCATACTGTGAGTCATACTGTGGGTCATACTGTGAGTCATACTGTTAGGTCATACTGTGGGTCATACTGTTAGGTCATACTGTGAGTCATACTGTTAGGTCATACTGTGGGTCATACTGTGGGTCATACTGTGGGTCATACTGTTAGGTCATACTATGAGTCATACTTTAGGTCATACTGTGGGTCATACTGTGGGTCATACTGTTAGGTCATACTGTGGGTCATACTGTGGGTCATACTGTTAGGTCATACTGTGGGTCATACTGTGGGTCATTCTGTGGGTCATACTGTTAGGTCATACTATGAGTCATACTGTTAGGTCATACTATGGGTCATACTGTGGGTCATACTGTGAGTCATACTGTTAGGTCATACTGTGGGTCATACTGTGGGTCATACTGTGGGTCATACTGTGGGTCATACTGTGGGTCATACTGTGGGTCATACTGTTGGGTCATACTGTGGGTCATACTGTGGGTCATACTTTAGGTCATACTGTGGGTCATACTATGGGTCATACTGTGGGTCATACTTTAGGTCATACTGTGGGTTATACTGTGGGTCATACTTTGGGTCATACTGTGGGTTATACTGTGGGTCATACTGTGGGTCATACTGTGGGTTATACTGTGGGTCATACTTTGGGTCATACTGTGGGTTATACTGTGGGTCATACTTTGGGTCATACACTGGGGCATACTGTGGATTAATGTATATGATTAAAATACAATAGACACCATCTCTAAAATGTGTAAAATACATCAGAGACAACTTCAAAATCATACAACTGCTGCCTTGTAGTTTGGTTAGACCAATTCAAAAAGAAAAACAAGCTGAAATCGTAGTCAATGGCCTCAATGGCGCGTAACCAATTGACACGTATACGTAATTGTGTTTGAGGGGATCCCTTCAAAAACTTAAATTAAGAACAAAGAAGAAGAAAACTTCACTCCCTAAAATCTAAAGTTTTATTAGTCTTCATTTGAACATAAAATCTTTGAACATTAAAATGATTATAAAACACAGAGACAAAGGACGACCAAGATATTTTACAAAGAAAATACCAGTACCCATCTAATTGCAGGATATCGATTAGACTCATCAATATGCCGAGTCACACGGTGTCGATTGGCTCTCCGGAATCCGGGAAACAAAGAACGGTGATCTGTAATCCCGTGCGCGTGCAATGGACGCGGGGATAATGAGACGCTTGTTAGACACTCATCACCACGTCAAGAAAATCTGGCCAGCGGCTCAAGCACCACTCAGATCCGGTGATCCCTTTACTTTGTGAGTTTTTTACAAGTGATTTTAAAAACAGAAGAATTCTTTTTTTTTTTCGGTAATCCCAAGTAACACTCAACTCCGAATGGTTTTTATTTTTCGTTTATTTTTATTTTTTTATTTTTTCGGTAATTCCCGTTGGAGAAGCCAATTAAAACATTCGACGAAATATTTTTTTTTCGGTTACAAAAAGAAAGTTAAAGAGAAAAAAAATATCACGGTTGATTTCTTTCGACGACACTAAACATGTTTCTGTGATCTTTACTTCTATGTATTCTTGTAGCAAGTTTAGAGAAAATAATAAACAAATCATTAGCAGTTATCTCATGCGCGAAAATGTTTTGCTGTTTTTTATTTTAAAATACTTTCCTAACTCAAAGTATCAAGGCTTTTTTATTATTAAAAGTAATGTTGTTGTTTTTTCGAACATGCTTTCCTTTACTTTCTAAATTAAAAAAATAACTTTTTTTTTTAAATTTTGTTTAAAAAGTAAGTGTAAGCACGCCTAGCTATAAATACGTCGGAAGGTTGTATGTTTGCTAGTATCGACATCAAAACCCTTGCTCTAAATCTAGCTAATTTTAACCCTTTTCACCTAATTCTAACCCTTTTTTCAAACAAAACCATGTAGTTGAATCGGACTTTTAAAGCTAAGCTTAACCCTAACAATTTTTTAAAGCAACTGGTTAGACCACTAGAAAAATGTTGTTGGCACTATCAAATGAACCCAATGATTTAGACTGCTAACTCAAAAGTCTCGAGTTCGAATCGGTTTACAGTTTATGGAACTTCCCTGAGTCCACTCAGCTATAATGGGTGCCTAACTCACGTTAGGGAAAGTAAAGGCGGCTGGGCATGCCGAGGTCAAGAAACATTAATTCTACTTCATTTGCCTAATGGATCAATAGGTCTAAACAGGATTCTTCACTTTTATAAGATATCACTCTAGAATTATTTAACCCCTCCCCCCCCCTCTTCCCAATATCCACCTGCGAATACATAAAGGAATGTGACGTGATCGTTGTCGGTTGTTTATTTAACTATTAACAAAATTTTGGATACACTACTGTACATCGAGAATTCAAATGTCGACTGGGTCTCAGCTGTTTGAGAAGTTGCATCAAATGCCAGTGCTAACATATCAACGTCTGCTAGTGGTACGTACGAGAAGACGTGTTGGCGTGCCAGTTAGGCTACAAAGTAAACATTGATTTCCTGTACAGTTCTAGAGACTTAGAGAAGACTGGTGCTATACACTTAAAGTCGGTCAAAGTGGAGTTTTATTTATTTGTTTTTAAAACTATTTAAAATATCTGGGCTTTTTTTAAAAAAGAGAGCATGCAAGGAAATTTAGATTCTTTTCAAGTTGCTATGCTGTAACAGATTTTGGTATAGGGGTTAGGTAAGGAATCGGGTGGGGTTAAAAATAAAGGTCTACTATTTCTTTCAGACTTTTTTCTTTAGGGTTTAGGGGACTTGATTTTCCGGTGGGGTGGCGGGACGGATACTGGCAAAAATATATATTATCTGTATAAATTATATTTAAATCTGGTGTGAGGACGGTAAACGTGTTTGAGGGGGGGGGGGTGTTATCCTGAAGAGATACCTGAAAGAAATTCTGTAAATTTCGGGTTTATAACAAGAATTCTGTATTGGGTTAGGACTTAATTAAGGTGAAAGCCAGGGTTATAGTTAGGGCTAGATTTAGGATGAGATTATAATTGTCCCAAGCAATGTTTATCGTCATGCCAACATAGAAAAAAAAACAATCCAATTCTTAAATGGTGCTTCTAGAAGTTTAAAAACAGTTGTTTTTTTCTTTGGTTTGTCATTATTTCTTTCATAATTGCTAAGTCAAGTAAAATAATCCCCTTTAGACCTAGCGATCCGTTCATATGTTACTTGGCCTCAGCTTATGTTGGAAAGGTGCGGTCAGCACTTTGTAAAAACATAAAATTACTTCTAAAGCAAGATTTAAAATATCTGTATCACACACACACACACACACATATGTATATATATATATATATATATATATATATATATATATATATATATATATATATATATATATATATGAATTAAAATTAATTTATATAATATATATAATACATATATTTCAAACTTGCTTTAGAATTATATATATATATATATATATATATATATATATATATATATATATATATATATATATATATATGTGTGTGTGTGTGTGTGTGTAGTCTAAAAAAAAGATTCTGTGAGGCTTATGTGAAGTTGATTGCACATTCCATCAACGTGCCAAATACCAGCATGACCAACCAGGATCTTTCTGTATCAAATGAATATTTCTCATCTAATTACTCACAGCTCGCCGTGATGACAATTAACTGCAATACTCTTAATTAAAGGTAGATCAATTTACGCCGCTTCTCAGCCTGAAGGAAATAAATTAACAGGAATACGCAGGCGATGATGAATGGAGTGGGTCTAAATCTAGTGCTTCATCTACCCAGACATTTTCTTCAAGTAATTTATGTTTTTTTTTTCTTTTTTGTTTTTTTTTTATGGTGTTTGTTGAGTTTTGGTCATGGCGACCTAGGTTAAGCTCCACGAAAGGTGAGGTCTGAAAAGTGTTTAAAAGTTTGTCTTTTGTTGTTGTTTTTTTCTTTTTTGTTGTTGCTTTACTGTCAAATTTTATAGAGAGTAACTTACAAGAATGCAGATGCAAGTGAGCATTTAAAAAATCGTAAGTTTAAAAAAAAATTGTGTTTTTGAGTGTCTATGCGTGTATGTGTTTGTGTGCGTGTATGTGTGTTAGCTTTTGTATGAACATATGCGTGCACTTCAGGATTTACCTAAACAATTAGAACTAGGTCTGGGTAATCCTTCTACATTCTATATATTCCAGTTAGTCTGGGGTTTTGTGTTCTTGATATCGCATAACATATATCCTTATCTCAATGGCGTTCTATTTTTTTATCTCTTCGCCTCACAGTTAATATCATTCTAAACCCGTAATCCCCTAATCCCCTTTATCCCCTGATTCCCTGACCCCCTGATCCCTCACACACCTCATTTATCAGTCCTCGATCATGTACATATATATGTAACTTGCACAAGTCAAATGCTATACACTGCTTGTAAGCTGGTATTGATTTGATGTAGCCGAGCGTGTGTGTGAGTCACAACCCAACACAACACCAAGCTGGACGAGAGCCAAGAGGTTAAACATCTACTTAAATATTCGAAAAAATCTACTAGAATATTCCAACACTTAATGCGTATTTTAGTGTTGTTATTTTTTTTTTTTATTATGGGAAAATGTTTTTACAATTAGGTGTCAAAATATTTACCTGATTTAAAAAAATAAAGTTAACACAAGAAACTATGGAATGATTTAATTTAACAAGTCAAATAGTTTTATTTAGAGGTGGTTACAATTAAGTAAATTAGGCTACATGATAACACCTGTCTAAACTAAAAGTATATCAGTGTCATTGAATTAAATGTTGGAGTGCTTTGGTATTAAAAGGTGCATTGTAGTCGAAATTCTTTTCTAATTAAATCAATTGTAAGTTATGGATATTCGTTTAATAATAATAATAATAATAATAATAATAATACTGATAATAATAATAATAATAATAATAATAATAATAATAATAATAATAATAATAATAATAATAATAATTAATAATGATAATAATAATAATAATAATAAAAATAATAATAATAATAATAATAATGAGAATAATAATAATACTAATGATAATAATAACAATAATAATAATAATAATAATAATAATAATAATAATAATAATAATAATAATAATAATAATAATAATAATAACATTGAAACACTCGGTACAGGCTTCCAAAATCTACTAAAAAAGATTGAACCTAGTTTAAAACGTCTATTTTTAGTATTTTTTGCTTCTAGAGGCGATAAATGCACACTAAGAAGTAAAGGCCTTGAGGCACGTACAAGATCTAATATGAAGAGATTATGGGTTGCCTTTGTATCGTGATTCTTTTACGACGTTTTCGAATATAATGCAAATGAAATCCCGATCCTTGTGTGTGGTACCAACCTATGTTCCAGAGACTGCAGCTAGAAAATCATAAATATTGTCAACGAGCCGACCCGCTGCGTATCATACGCCTCTATTTAGTTGTTTTATTTTCTGATTTTCAGTAATTCATAATTTGTGAATTCGACAGTACCACTGCTGCCACTGAAAATATTTGCTTTAAAACACTATCAGTAAGTCGTTAAGGACGATACCCCCCTCCTTTCCCCAACCCCTAACCCCCTCCCCCCCCCCCGTAAAAGCAGCCTCCTCTTAGCTACCTCCCCTAAGTTTAAAATCGTTTCAAACTAAATTATCTGCCCCTAATAGCCGTCACTAAACCCGGCTCTACGATTGTAAACA